AGTGATATCGAGGCGCTGAAGCAAGCGGGGCGTAACATGAGGTACTGCGAGGAGGAGGATCCGTTAATTGGCGCTCACAGTAGGCCTTTGTCACAGTTCATGGAACAAGGAGGAGAGGAAGACTTCTCCCAGTACCTGGTACCCGACCGCGAGCTGCATATGTTCGTGGTCATGGACGTTGTGTTTCCTGTCCTGAAAAAGTCGACATGTTTCACCAAGAGGTGAGATTTTTCAATTGAAAGTGTTGTTTTTGCGGGTGGTTGGAGGGCGCTTCTGGTAGGTCCCACTTCTTTGCCATTGGTTTTTTTTGTCTCTTGTGTCTTTTCCCCAGCACTAAACTACCCTCTCTGTGTCAATATACCTCTCTCTTGTGTCTTTTCCCCAGCACTAAACTACCCTCTCTGTGTCAATATACCTCTCTTGGTCTTTTAGTTTTAGTAAGGTTTTACGGTGCTCACAACTGTATAAGGTCATATGAGCGCCTTGGGATGGATGTCAACAAAGAAGTCTAAATGGGGAATCAGGCTTACTCTGCTCACCTCTCTAGCCTTAACAGCACAAAGTCTGCTTCAACTATCAAGGCACCCTGGTAATAGCAGTTCACAAGAGAAATACAAACACACAAAATAGGTAGGGGAAAAATGACAATAGTAAGGATGAGAAAAGAAAAAGCAGCAGTTCCCCCTATGTTGTTCCGGCACAGTATGAGCATGACATTGTTTGTTACTCTCTTGTAACAACTCTAATCTTCTGGCGCTCATATGACCGTATGCAGTTGCGAGCGCCGTAAAACCTCTACTAAAACTAAAAGAACTCAAAAAGTCGTGATGAATTAACAGATGTATGTTTTCTTCCCTCTTCCTGCGCCAGGTACAGCCACTACATTGAGGGCGCCGGGTCCGTGGTGCAGATGACCACAAATGTGCAGGTGAGAAAATAAATGAATTTCTCTTTTATTTGGTCGCTTTTAAGGACAAGCGGGCCAACCCAGATTTCGGGGGTTTCCAGAAGTCTTGACCTACACCAAAAGTGGGCATTGCCCTACGTATAGGGGGTGTCCTGAGGGTTGAGGAGAAAAACTAAACTGTGCTGTTTTGACAGTGTCAGTGGCGTCTTGAATGAAACCTTTTTCTTTCACTAAAACGAAAAGGCTACTGGTTTTTGGGCAAGCAGAAGTCACAAAAGTACTGACTACATGGGTGGTTGGTGGATGCTCTGCTGTGGTCACTTCTTCTTTCCTATCAAACATTTATATCTTCCCTCCTTTTTTGTGTTTTGTTACTCACTTGTAACACCTAATCTTGACATAAATATGACCTTATTGCGTTGCAAGTGCCGTAAACCTTTTATACGACAACTCGGAGAAGTGCTACTACAATGTATATACATACTGGAGGCCTCTGTAAGTTATATATAGCGAGAACATGTTGTTATCCGTTTAGTTCTAGTTCTCCTAAGTATTCTGCTTTTAACCCCCCC